ACGCTACGCGACATGGTGCAGAAGAGGGTTGCAAAAACTGTGAGATCACCGGCGAAATGTAAGCCCTAACCACTATCCCTGCTAACTGTGCTTGCAATATAAAGTGGCGCATGGCCTTGGTTTTCATGAGGGGAATCTCACTTTTACCTGACAATCAGCTGAAATATGCATAATCCCAGTAGGTTTCTTGCATCTAATGCAGCCACTGTTTTAGCCAAGAAACAGCTGCGTCTTTTGCCCTCTTCAACCTCTATCTCAGTACCCGATTCATTGAGATATAAAATGGGCTCCTACCCGGAAATTACATATGTACCTACAACTAATGATAGCTCGATCTTCCTCGGCTCTGCTGTGAATATATAGGTAGGGTCATCCCCAGCATAATCTGAAGCGGGATACCAAGCCGCTAAGATCTCACCGTAAGCTAAAACGAGTTGCAGGTGAGAAATCGAGATGCAGTCTACAAAGTGCCAGTCACCTTGGCAAAGGCGAGTATTCCGGATTTGCGCACGTTTTTGTTATCTTCTGTGAAACTGAGGAGATCTGGCCTGCGCCTTCTCACCTATCATCTCGAGGCGTTATAGTGAAGTACCTACGGAGTACACATTCCTCGGCATGGAGGCAATTCTCCTTTCGTCCGGTCAATGGAGTTTTTCTTCGCTATCATTATGTGTACCTGAGCGTATTTTCTTTTAACCGTTATCTACCAGTGTTGGGGCAGGTTCCTGCCTAAAGGGGATAGGACCTCTGCTCCTCACCAGGGTTGATCTTCCTTCCTCTCTTCCTCCCCCGCCCCCCCTCTCTCTCTCTCTCTCTGAGCCCACCCCAACTAAAGGACCTCCCGCTGCAGATGTCCCAAGTACCCCGAAGAAGTCCCCATCTATGACCCGATTCTCGTCCACTGAGAAACAGATGACGCTGCGATCGCCGGCTTTCCAAGGTTAATGACCCATCTTTGGCTTGGCCCATTTGTAGGCGTGAATATTGCACACTGTCTAGGATAACTCGGAGCAAGGCTTAGGGATGCTCCCCATCGGGGTAGCCGGGCTTTGTGGCTTTCACAGGCATAAAATTCAAAAGAATCGCAGAAACCACGGGCAGAGACGATTGGAATTGCTGGCGATCACGACGCAGGAACGTTGGCAGGATACGTCACCCTCAAGGTCAACGATCAGCAGTCGTACGACATGGTAATCTCACGAATTACCATGTCGTACGGCCCGAGAGTCTCCAACCTATCCACAGTCATCTCTTGACAACTTCTTCGGATTAGAGGCGACATCTACTGAAGGAGTAATAACAACCCCTTTCAATTGCGGTGCGACCGGTCTCAATATGCACTCGCAGTGCAGTCGGATCATTCTCATGGAATCAGCACTGAATCATAACTCCCTGTTCCAACCCATCGGGCGTATCCACCGCCTCGGCCAATGGGAGGAGCAGCGCGCGTGGGTGCTGTGAGATTAGAAGATCGGCGTTTGTTGCGCCCCGAAGAAGTTAAAAGCCAAGCGAGCTTCTAACAACGATATCTTTGGTGTGGAGTTTTTATGTCGCAGGATGGTCCAACAGCGCAGACTGTCAGCGATCAGCTCGCGGAGAAATTCCAGTTCGATGTTTACCATATTTTGGAGCTTCGCCAGAAGCTCAGCCGTGAGGAGCTCAATGATTTCATCACCATCGGGGGAAGAAAGTTGATACTGCCTTGGGAAATGAACACCCTAGAACAACAGGAGTACTTCGAATGCTTCGCCGAATCTGGCGCGGATCGGTTGACCGTTGAACTGGAGGAATGATGGGCGGGTGGACTATCTTATTGCTTTTTGCTTTCTATTCTTACAGTCTTCACTTGTTACTCTACAATCGGAAATGTAAAACATCTTCTTCACATTATAGATCGTGTTAATTGGAGTCGGTATCGGGCGGCACGCCGGCTATTGAAGGCGGATATTAATAGGCCTCTACGATATAATCTATCATTTATAAAGAGGAGCCTCAACTAAGATCGTAGGCCTGTCTTTCCCTCTTTTATAGCCACATATTTCGATCGCTCTACCTCCCCCCGTTTGAAATCTCGTAGTCGTTGCCGGGAGAAAATCATTAAATAGCAGTCGCCACAACACTATAGGAGTATCGTTACCTACCTTCCTATAAGGGAGAGTCTAAGCACCCTTGCTAGGGAGTGAGTCCAATCTCTTAATGCGAAAGACCCTCTTCACGACCTCCGAGGCCAGTTTATCATTCCTTCGAAGATTTGACCAGGAAAGCCATCATAGCAATATACATCATTCTACTTATCCACCGGTAATTCAGTTAGCCGGTCTCAAAATCTCGCCTAGAGAACATGTCGTCTGCACTGATATGCCTCTACAGCAACCCTAGGCCTACAGCCCAAAATCAATCGAATGTATATCATCTGACCCCTACATTCATGGGCTATAAAGGCTGTCTTAAGTCACTTAACATCCCATGGTGATTATCTGGGTCCCATGTATTTCGAACTGGTTAACAAGCATATGCATGGATCGCTCTCTTTGATTTCTCGTTTTACTTCATGCTCACCTCAGTTATTGTTCATTTACTCCTCAATTATCTCTGACCTGCTGTGCTTCCTACTTAGTTTAACCTGAGCGGACCTCAGTAACGAGAGAAAAAAATATCATAACTATACTTTAACACCTCGATTACGCACGTGATTTGAGACTATGTGGTTTCAATGGAGATTTCGAGTACGAGAGAAACCCCTATAGGCATCCAGCTACCTCATTGTTCGTTTGACGCAACACTTTGGTTCACTCAAGCGAATTCTCCACACTGTATACTAAATAGATCTCCTCATCTCGTCAAATAGAAATAGACCTTCCCCTGCCACTCTTTACTCTCAATACACCCGGCCACCATGTTATGTTGCACAGCTCGATAATAGACCATCATTGGTCGCTCATCGTAGACTAAAGCCGCAGAAACAACCCCATGATATTTGATTTCACGTAGCTGTCAAAAGAAATGTCAGGCATTATATCCCGAGCCAAAATACGCAGAAAGTTCCTTTCAAAACCACAACTACGTGTGTATGTTCTATGCATAGCTATGCACTGGAGATGTGCCACAGAATAAAGGAAAGGGACTTACAGATGCACGCCCCCAATCCTCAAATGGCACCCGCTCCCCGTTCTGCGCAACAACCAGCGGCACTACATCGTCGGTGGAATAAAATGTATTGCCGAACCAATTGAGCGTGTCCAGCTTTTCTTCAAATGGGTGACCGGTGGCAAGGATATATCCGTTCCATTCGCCGATCAAGTCGTCTGGCTGAAGGGGCTTGAGCCCGTCAAAAACGGTGTCGATTTTGCCGCTAGTCGCCCGAGGGTCTTTGGTGAGAGAGATAAACTTCTTGGCTGGGCTTTGCTGGAAATAGTCAAATGATAAGATTGGGAATTGGATTGTCATCTTATGTGTATATGTGTGTATGCCGTTGGCCTAGGTACAGCCTGAGGGTCTTTGAGGCGAGGTCAACTCTTTGGTTTCTGAACTGCGTGCGTGTTTTCTCCATATTTGTGACTGATGGACTTCCGGTATTAAATATGAGATATAAGTGAGGTCCACGGAATGTAACTCCTATAAGAGTGGAAAACGGGCGCTTCCAGCGCATAAGGCAGAAATCCCGAAGTATGTCCCGAACTTTGATCTGCACACACTAAATAGGTAGGAGACATCGGTGTTTATTTGAGGACCGTGCTGACTCGACATTCTATCTGATTTCTTCAAGATCAGCCATTGTATATCCTGTCAGGAAGGGATCCTCACATGGGAAATGCTGCCAATTCCCCGGCCCACGAGTACCCGAACTCTGAAATATATCAGATCTTTCTGTTGCATATTCCGTCCCATGAAGGGCAAACCATGGCGTATAAGATTTTCTTGCCTGGTTGCCACATTCCAAGTGTGGGTTCGCCCCGCTCCGTGGCTGTTTTGCCTGAGTCGATCAATGATTGATAAAGAATGGGCTATTATGTATAGTTATGTCGAGTAGTTGGAATTCTCGCTAGAACCTCATTTTGGCGGGTAAATAATTGGATGCCTTGTTCCAAGATCTTCATCTAGGCAACATTCTTGCCCAGTTTCCTGAATCCATCGATCGTTATTCCACGTCCGAACTATATGAGAAATTTGGAGAGCCAGAGTCAGAGGCCGTCGTTCGTCTCGATGGCATGCCATTATCAAATGGAATACCTGCACATGTCTTTATTCCGGGCTGGTTTGGCGTTCGCAGCGATGATGTTGCTCTTGGAAAGGAAAGGATCGTCCTTAGCGACTTTGGGGAATCTTTCAACCCTTATAAAACGCCTAGGTCTTCTTCGAAGACTCTTCCTCTCCTTCAGCCACCCGAGGCCCGATTCTCTGATGAGCCCCTCTCCTTTGCCTCGGACATTTGGACACTTGCCTGTACTATTTGGGAGATTTTTGGCCAGCGACCTTTGTTGCTTTCTGGGCAACCGCTGATCGTGTCACCGCGGAGCAAGTCGAAGTCCTTGGCATCTTACCTGCCGAGTGGTGGAAGAATTGGCATAAAAGGCTCGAATGGTTTAGCGAAGAGGGAGAACTTGATGGGACATCTAGGGGCCATGATAGCGTGCGCAGGACCTGGGACATGAGGTTCGACTACAGCATACAGAAGCCTCGGGCCGAGGCGGGCCTGGAGATCGTGACGGGGAGGGAGAGGAGGGCATTTGAGGCGATGCTTCGCCCAATGCTGACCTTCCGGCCCGGGGAAAGAGCGACTGCACAACAGATATTGCACTCGGAATGGATGAAAGGCTGGGGTCAACCAGCCCTTGAAGAGAGTTGGAGTACACTTCATTCTGTGAAGGAATAGGGAAATAAATGTCTAATGACAAGCGTATAACTATAGTTTCTCTTGAATAATATTACATAAGTATGCCTATAATAGATGTTCACTAGTCGCCATATAAGTGGACGCGTAAACAAATTACAAAACTCACTCACAACGCCCAAGTCCTCTCAATCTCAAGGCTATCCTCATCGATCTCCTTCCACCCCAAATTTCCCCACCTCGCAGGCCTCTCAACAGCATCAACAAACTGCCTCAGTGCGAGCACCGTCTGCACCGCCCAGCGCTCTTTACTAACCTTCCCAACCCCAACAGCCACCGGCGTCATAAGGATCCTGCCAATCTTCCCCTCCCCTCCCGTAGCACGATTATGCCCCTCAACCTGACACAACAAGCTCCAAACACACTCATAAACGATCTCCCGGTCCCACCGGACATCCCCAGGCTCACGGATTGTCGGACAAATAGCCACCCATCTGCAGCCGTATTTATTCTGCTTTAGGTCATCCGGGAACTCGACAAGCGTGCATGAGCCTGGAGGCGCAAAACCGCGCCATTTCTCATACAGGACTGTTTGCGCTGCGCGTGTCAGAGCGTGGTAGTCCTGTCGTGGGCTGAAGGTCATTGAGATGGCGTGGTCGAAGGCTCCGTCGAGACGGGCGTAGGAGTTTGCTGGTGAGACAATCAGGCCAAAGGTTGCGTCTTCTGGGAGGGAATTGAGGCGCTCATTTATTGGGGTTATCTTTAGTTTTTCTGGGTTGTGGTCTGGCCAGGTTGTTTTGAGGGCATCGTTGAAGGCTGTTATGAAGTCGATGTCCATGCAGAGTAGGAGGATTTCGGGGATGTTATTCGTCATCTTTGCTTGGGGTTTGTTGATTAGGGGGAAATATTGTATGTTTCATAAACTTGTAGGCAGCAGGTTATAGTTAAATAGACGGAGCCTCAAGCCTTCAGCATATACACTGGATTTTAGGCCGCGCGACGTGGCTTTCCCTTTCCGTTTTAGTGCTTACCCCTCGCCACTCTTTGCTCACTGAGTATGATATCAACAAGAATTAGAAGTGCGGAGGTTCTTCATCCAACTCAGATTATCTCAACCAGACTACCTAAAGTGGTATCTTGGCCCAATAGGAACCTACCAGTCCTCCCTTCTCTCTGCTAACTGGAAGCGACGGCTCAAAAGATATCCTGCCCAAAGTCGCCAAATTATACGGTACCATTGCAGATGATATCGAGGACGATTACCCTTGCACGGTAGTGTAGGAGGCCCTGGTAGCATTATCTGTTGAAACCACGTATGTATGTGGCGCTGTACGTGTATCGTTTGAAGGACGGTATCTCTTTCGAGCAGTTCCGCGCTACGCGAGATGCCACTGTCAAAGCTCATATAATTATGCGCACGAGAGTCGTGCAGCTCGGCTTAAGGGGCGTGGCGCAAGTTGTCTGTCGCCAGGGCGTCGGGTGCCAGAATAGCAATAATTTCAAGAATATCTCACAGAGAACTGCCAGAAGGAGATGCTATTGGGGGCACCGCTCGCACGAGTGTATTTCATTCAGGATTTGGACCTATAAAGTCCTGCTCATTTGTTATCACACTGCACGATGCCTTGTACGACGACTGGTTATTAGCCTTGATCCTGAAACATATCGAGGCGGCGTATGCTGAAGAACGAGTGCCAGATCAGCAAAGAATTGGTAAATAGTAAGGCAGAACTATCAAGTATTACTACGTAATAAACCAGTATGATCATAGTAAATACTAGTATAAACTAGTTCCATCTACTCTGCGGGCTTTACCCTGCGACCCTACGACCATGTCATTCATTCGAGATTTGCAGGTTAAGATGAAGGTAAAGCTGAGAGCCGAGGTGAATTTCTTGGGCATCTACACTATGTAGGGACCAAAGGAGAGGAGGGAGAGAGTTGATTCCTAAGGGAAGAAGCGAGCTTCAAACTATCTATCTAGCTAGCAAGTAACGTATTTGGTAAGCGAGCTGGCCACCCCCAAAACACATAGTAAATGCGATAAATTCAACTTGATATCTCAACAACCACGTCTTTATTTGGTTTCATTACTTGCCGATAGCTATTGGTAAGAACGTTTGATACTATACATCAATCTTAAGAGAATCGAAAAGGTGCATTGTCATGGTATCGAAAATTACGCTCCTAAAAGCCTGAAATATATATACCATAATCCCTAAGTCATATATATATTTCCCAAACTCCCTAGAGCGGCTAGATATTACCTAAAAAGGAGTAGATCATAAGGAAATCTCTATATAGACCACCGTTGTCGAGATATCAAGTTGTAATCTATCTCATTTACTATGTGTTTTGGGGGTGGCCAGCTCGCTTACCGAATACGTTAAACGAGGTGTTGATGCCTGAAGCATCAACTGCAGCCTAAGGCCACCACAACAGAATTTCTATGGGAAGGCGTTCTGTGGGAAGGTCTTGAATTGAAACTAAGCAAGAGCGAGGGGAGCAGATTCGGGTAGCCTGCGCCTCGACAGCTAACCCTTAGGACATAAACCAGTAACTTCCCCAAGAACTTTTAGTTGGTAGATCCCAGACGCCTCTCTCCCAATAGACTTGATGCATAACCCGCTTATATCGCTGGTCCTTAAGGTAGGAAAGGTTGCATGACCGCAAGGCCTCTAACGACCGAGGCGACACATTTTCAAAACAGACCCGTGGGCTGTCTTTCCGATGATTTGGATCGAGTGTCACTCTATTAAGCTCCCAACTACAGCAATGGACTAACCATCGAGGGTCATCTGGGGTCAAACCAGGGCCAAGATTAATCCATGTTGTAAGAACCAGAGCCAAATCAGATCCATATTCACAAACTTCGATACGGGAATCTGCGGCGCATATGTCGCAAGTATGAGTGGAACTGGGAGCTTTCTCTCCACTGATATAGGCTTTCACCACGGTATTAAGTAATATGGCATGTCTCCGACGCGAGACGTGTATGCAAATAAACATAACTTGTGGAGGTTCCCCCGCAGATTCAATATCCTGCCGAGAAAGGAGTAGTTCCGATTTCCTACCGTGAACGAACATCACATGCTGGATTCTTAAACAAAGTCCCGGTGTCTTTGGACAGATCTGTGCATCGGTCGAAAAGAGAGAGGTGATTTCAGGGCACGATGATGGTCCGGGGTGGGTGCGTACTTGGGTGTAAGATAACGCTTCAGTGCTAATTCCAAACTTTTCACCATAGTAGAATCTCCTCATAGCAAGCTGAAGATGGAGAAAGTAGAATATGCGGTAGACATGGAACCAGATCGGTGCTTGATCTCTCAATTCTAAATCAAAGCCATCTTCTTTCCATTTTGGGAGGCATCGAAGAGGACATTTTTCCTGGTCGTATACCGAGCCAGATAGACCGAAGTACTCCGAACCGTCATACTTATGAAGAATATGGCATATATAGCAAACGAAGTATTTCGGTAGATCTCGTTCCAGTCGGCGTAAAACAGGCAGTTTGTCTTTTCCTAATGGCCGAGCGGGATTGGTTCGATGGTTGAATATGGCAAAGAGCCGGCGACTGCAGAGTGAAATGCAAATACGATCATTCAGAGGGAGGAAGTCAGTTATTGATGACAATAGCTCGACAGGGAGACCGGCTAGCGTATTCAACTTGGGAATCTCAGAAGGTGGAGTACGCCTTCCCATGATCGAGATACCACTGAAGAGCAAATATCGAGGACCGACTGCATGTTGGAGGAGATGTTTAGCTCACGCAGATGGAGGCGAAGTCTGAGTTGACTGAACAAGTGGAAAATGAAGGTGGAGTGATAGCCGGGTAGTTGTGAGTAACGAGAGTGATGGTAGTTCGATGAAGGTGGAAATTGAGGAAATGATAGTTTGAATGTCCGGTGATTGTATAGGAAGTTCTCATAATAATTGAAACCCTAAAACTACATGTAGGTAGCTCACGTCGTTTTGCCCGATGAGGCATAGTAGGTCCATTCCGCCTTAGAGCTTACAAGGCTTGAGGGGATAGATGAATTGCTATGTCCATACAACAAGTGATCAAAATACGGCCATTTTACAGTTGAAAGATGCATTGTTATTTATAACATCGTAAATCTTCCATTTGGTTATCTATATCATAAAATTATTTACTCGATGCTAGGAATGCGATGAGACTCTTTTTTAGTATTGACCGCTGTTCATTTTGGGTTGAACTTGGCGAGAAGTCGAGAGATCCAATCGGGGAACATGTATAAATTAATCGGATTTTAGAACCCTTCGTGGAAAAGAAAACAAGCATCGGTTCCGAGGTCCTCGAAAACTAGGGTGTGTGCTAAGATGTAGGATCCCGCTATGTATGCGCAATATATTACAGCACCTATACCTATAATTCTAATGAACTAGCCTGAAATGCAGGCTACAGCCCGAATCTGTTAAGAATCCCAGTTAATTCATAGTAATTAACATGCTTTAGGACGGTTTAACGCTGAATCTCATTCATTATGCCAAGGTATTCTTGCATGTCAAGGATCTTAAACTCCCACGGAATCGAGATTGCTTTGATGCAGTTTGACAGCTTCGTCACCCATTCCTGCATATAACCTGCATCCAGGTTGTATCGAAGGATGGGATTTCAATACCGACTGCGTTCAAACTGCTTCAACCTGCTTCCTCTGGTGGAATCCGTTGCTCTCTCCTTTTCTCTATGATTCCACTCCTGTTTCCATTACAAATTATATCTAGCATATGAGGGGTTTATCATCGATATCTACAAGGGTATGGAGCCTATAAATATGGGGTTCTTACCAGGCATTGAGATGGTAGACAGTTTACAATTTTATCTTTGGTACTATACTTCGAGTATCAGTATCATCTTTGCAAGATATCTTTATCCCATACATGCTTTGTTCTAGTTTCTCTACTATACCTTTCAACAGAATCGCCGCTGACCGCTATGATCCTAGTTCCCCCTAAAATTGCCTGTATCTTGCATCCAGATTGTCTTATATAATTCCTCTGTATTCTATAGTTCTGAATCCAGAGGTCTTGCACTTTATCATCCGTCTGGTATACTTCCTCATATTATATCTGTCATTTTTTACTACATGACTACTGGATCTACTAATGCACAGGTGTCAATCTTCCTAACAAAGACAATATGAGCCATCTGATAGGTGATGTATGCTTCCTATCAAAAAAGAGCAAAGGTTAGCATCTACTCAACCTACAATATAAGAGGACTATTCCATTAAGTAATACGGTCATCCTTATCCTCATCACTACCACCCTATGAGATAACACTGCTGGAGGTTAGTAACTTCGCCCTCCAGCTTACTTGTCCTCCTTCTTCTCCTCCTCTTCCGTCTCCTCCTCCTCCTTCTTCTTTTTCTTCTTCTTCTTAGCCAATTTCTTTTCAAGAGCGGTTACCCTCTTCTGTAGGGACCGGTAGGCGTCTTTGGTCACATAGTTTTCTTTATTCGACAAGTTGTGCCAAAAGGTGCAGTGCTGCATCACTGCGCTGTTAAAGCCCCAAATTATGTCACTGATTCCAAAGAAGATGGTGGTCCAATGCGAATCAGATGTAGATGCCGGGGGAGAAGTGTCGCCCCGTTTGTTCAAGACTAAGATTCCATTATTACTATGCGCCTCCAGTGTATCCCGGGTTCAGCCTTATAGCATACCATGCACTTCTCCACAAGGAGGGCAGCCAAGGAACGAGGGGGAAAGTTCACGGAGAAGAAACTATGTACACCAAACGCACATACGTCAGCCCGTACATTGCGCATATTGCCTTGGAATTTAGGAAACAGGTCTCACTCACGAGTAAGCCAACGAGGAGAGCAACAGCAACAGCAACAGCAACAGCAACAGCAACAGCAACAGCAACAGCAACAGCAACAGCGGACAATACCCAGACAAGGAGATATGGAATCCGCTCCCAGGGGGAGCGACCGACCACACAAGCCCACAGCGGACGAACGAACAGCGAGCCACAAAGCCAGCTCGCGGCAACAACAACCGCGCCGATGCTGACGGAGAAGATGAAAATGAAAATTTGGTAACTTGGAAAAGCCATGATGCTTGTAGCAGTATTTTGTGAATTTATGACAGGTATACAGGTTTACAGGTTAAGATGAAGGTAAAGCTGAGGGCTTAAGTGAATTACTATAGGAAGGACCAATCGTGAATGACCCCAAAAAGACGGCAGCTGCGTTTGTTGATACTCCTGATTTTCTACGTGACATGCTAGCCTTATCACCTCATAATCGAGTCTATGAGATAGGTGATCTCGTATAGTACGCATCCGATGGGTCTATACGCTTTCTAGGTCGGAAGGATATCCCCTTTCAAACGATCACTTCCAGCTAACATTTACATTTCCTTTACATAGGTCCAAACGAGATGTGTTTCCAGAGACGTTCCTAATGGAACATACAACGGGACCTTCTATCTCGAATTTGTAGTTTCCAAGGGCCCCCTTGCTCTAATTACATTAGCGCTATTCGGTCAAGATGCCTTCATCGATACCAACAGTCACAACCTCACCAAAGTCCGAGACCCAAGTAGTCCACTCAACTACATCTGCTACGAATATGTCCCGCTGGCCCTTCTCTTGGGCCAAAAAGAACTACCGTTCTAGGGATCGTGCTACAATGGAGATCTGTATGGAGAAACAATGTAGTCGATTCCGATGGGAGTGAAGTGGACGGAGAGGAGAAGAAAGAGAGAGGGGGGAGAGAGCTATCTAGCTATCTACATGCAAACGGGGTCTGTCACCTGGATGCCTGACTAACCAGGCACCCAACAACCGTGCAATCCATTAACTAACTACTGTGCGCTCACTTAGCGCAGTCTGAGAACTTAATGAGCATACCCTGAGCGTCCACTGAGCAGACCCTGGGCGTTCACTGAGCACGACCTGAGTGCTTACCGAGCATAACCTGAGCATTATTTTGACATTACTAAGCATACACTTGAGTACACTGAGTGATCACCCTCTGCTGTGAAATACTCAGTGAGCAGGACCTTGAGCGCCCTCATAAAGCGGCGGCACCGCGATCAGGAAATGCGCATCCGCGGCCTAAAATCCGGTACATCCAGCTACATATCTACATATGTACACAGCCCCACGTATGTGGGGACTCGACTAAGCCTGATGATGACTGTGACTTTGCCTGCTGGGGACAGATGGAAATGAGGGAATGTAGGATGAACCTACCATTTACTGGGTGTAATCTAGGGGAAGCTACTGATTACGTATATGTCCGACATACTTACCTAGGTACCTCTTATAGCTATGCTATGATATGGGATTTCCCGAAATGGTTCTTTGGCACTAGTCCCGGAGGAGCGCTCAAGGCAGGCTGCTTCAAGGGGACAGGAGAGGCCACAGTGGGGACCTGGTTTTTCATGATTTTCTCAGCGAGGGTTGCGGGAACAGAAATTCGGAAGAGGAGAAAGCACATCTTGTCATACTACATAGTGACACACGTTGTCCTAACTTCAGTGTGGCCATGCTCTGCAGGCAGAAATAAATATTCAGGCACCAACGTGTGACGTGGATCCACCTTCCTCTTTCGGAAGAATATGGGTAGTTCATCCAAGCTACATGCATGTACCCATGGACAAACAAAGACTCATTCATCTAACCCAATATCACTCTCTTTTCTAAGCGTTGGTTCCTCCGTCAAATCGGTATCACCTCCCCCAGGCCGACTCTCCTCTTGAGTCGACACGTACCGAATCAAGCTTTCACATAACCGATCTAGAACCCACTCGGGCTCCGTCTGTTTTGCTAGCAAGGGGCTGTTCTCACCAATCCAATCCCAATTAACAAGTCCATATTCGTCTTCAGTCGAAAGACCTCCCTCACTTGCCGGCTGATTTCTCTGTGATGGTGGTGGCCGAGCCCGCGGGTCGGTGAACTGAATGAGCCGGGTGAACTCGACCCATTCTTCATAGGAGTATCGCGTTCGCTTGCCTTCCCGAGCCTGTTTCGAGGCGCGGCGAATAGCAAAGGCAAGTTGCTGGGCAAGCTCGAGTGGGGTCGGATCGCGGGCGAGTTCCTCGAGGGACAGCTGCGGATGAGACTCGGCTAAATCCTCGCTTTGAGTATTAGATTGACCAGCCTCCTCGGGTTCCGTTCTTTCCCGAGTGTCGGATTCATCAGCCCCCTCAAGCGGGAAACCGCGCTCTCGCCGCTTTTTCTCTTGGCGGGCCACTATGAATTGGGCAACGCCGGGAATCCGACCCAAGAATGTCTTGTAAACACGGGATTGAGGAAGCACGAAGTAGCTGGCAACTACTTCGGTGGCGCGCTTGAAGCTGGCGACGACTGTGTCGCTCATCTCGGAAATGAGCATGGTCATGGTTGGGATGGCGATTAGAGACCATACCACAAAGAAAGGTCTTCCTGGATTGGACTGCGGTGTGAAATCACCATAGCCGATGGTTAGCAGGGAGACGAAGCAAAAGTAGAGTGATTCGAAGTAGGTAATGGATTCTAATTTCCAGAACACCACTGCTCCGCAGCACCACACAATTCCGAATGTAACCATGCTGATGACCAAGTTGTTCCAGCGACGGAAGCGCATGGTATCAGACTGGATACGGCGCATAGCATCAAACCGATCTTTTTCTTCACGCATGACAAGGATCCTGGGTCGTCGAGCCGTGGTAATGGCGTTGATGGTATTGCGAATTGGTCGATGACGCCGATGAGTCTTAGATTTGTGGCGAGTGAGAGCCGCGGGGGTGATAACTTCTCCACTGGTCGGGCGTTTCCCTTGAGAAGATTCGAGCTCGTCATAGCCGATTGCCTGCTCCAAAGTGTATTGCCGTTTCTGTTCAATGTGTTTCTGGATGACATTGTCGTAGTGAACTTCGCGAGCAAATCTAAATATGCTTTCCACGACCAGTCCCAGGATGATAATACCAATGACTGCGTATGGCCAAATAAGACCTCGACTGACGGAGTCGATGGGAGTTATGTCGCCATATCCTAATGTGAGAACGGTGACATCGGAGAAGTACAATGCATCGGCGAAAGAGATGCCGAGCACTCGCTGGAAAATAGTCGCGCCAATCAACAGCCAAACCATCAATGCAGTCATTTGCAGGATCAAGGTTCGTTGCTCGCCTGTTAGCGAGAAATGTTGCGGGTATTTGCCCAAGAAATAGCCAAGCATGTTCACCATCAAGACAAAGCTCAAGATAAAGTAGAGGATTGCCGCAATGACGGCACTCCAATAAGCCTGCGAGTAGACCCTATCAATGCCTACCGGGGGATTATAGATATCTGTAGCTATGGTAATTCCGCAGAGCTAGAAGCAAGCGTTAGGTCTAGAGCACCAGAGAGACAGAGAAACATTACTTACGATTCCGGCGGCTATGAACCACAAAATGATCGTCACAGGCAAAGCTATAATATAGCGTACGATCTGGGTGAAATTGAACAGTAAAAACATATTGCCCACAATCCCGCAACAAAGCGAGACGACATTTAGGGAAGTGGTCCTATTCGTGGTGTTAGAGAACTTGATTCAGGGTACCCTCTTGCTCCGTACTCACCAACGAGGGTCTGGATATCCTTCCTGGATGAGGTTTCCAGCAGCGCTATCTTCATATGAGAGGATTTTGCTTCGCCATGGCACAACCAGTGCAACGATTGACATGACATTGGCGAGTGGTCCCGTTGTAGCAGCAACAAGCGGGATGGCCGTGGACGCAATCCACCACGACTGTGGCTCATCATCTTCAGGTGGTCTCATGTGAAATTGACTCCGGATCCATTCCCATGGGGATAGCCTATCAGACTTGTCATCTGTGGGCCCCCCTTCCGTTGTAGATCCATGACGCATCGTTCATCTAGTATGACCTAATGCCCAGATCGGGGGCAGTCGCAGTTGAATGAGCCTTGTAGGTCTGAGGCTAAGCCTTTTAAAGACCTTAAAGCACCAGGTCACTTTCCAGGAACTAGATTTGAGTCAAGGGGAACCTCAAACATCCTCGTCTGTCCTTGGTAGGATGAGATTGCATCAGGACAGTAGAGAAGACGGGTACGAGCTTTGGTAGTTGTTTATTGTTGACTCCTAAGCAAGTCTCCGAATAAGACTAATATCTCAGCTAACCCACTGAATTCGAGGGTCCAGGCACTTGATAACTAGCATCAGATATCAAATGATGTCGCCGATCAACGCTGAGTTGGCGGTCCCGTGACCGCCCCACGTGCGTCATCATTATTCTTCGAAAGTTAACAACAGAACATTTGGACTCTAGAAGTTGTTGAATACGAGAACTTTGACCACGTTTGGCAGAATATGCCCCAATCAGCTCCAGAAATAGGCCTGACAGGGCAAATAAGGTTGTATGGCTCCATGGACTTGCAGTCCACGTTCAGGGCTAACCCCGGCGATAGCGTAGGTAAGTAGTAAACTTATCAATTCCATAGGCTTATGCTTTTATATAAGTTTCAGACAGTCCTGATTTTCATCTCATGTTAGTTCCCAAGAGTATCCACGACATTAACATATGGCCGGCTCTTTTCTCCAACCTTCGGAGCCAACATCTCACAAGCTCGGTATGACTCCAAATCAAGAAAGAGATTCATGAAGCAAGCTTGGAAGTCTGAGCCAATATCCATAAAGCTGTACCTGACCTATAGCACATATTCGAGCACACACCCAACGAAATTAAGATATCACTTCCCCAAACCTTCAATCCATACTAAAATCAAACACCTTGAATATCAACCATCATTACAATATTTAATAGCTGTCACGATCCTTTATAAATAATGCCCCAGACGCAGCATCACCATGCAACCCAGGACAAAGCTAGAAAGTCATGCACGCAACCCACACCCCTGTGCCTCCCCTGTGATAGGGTCGCCACACCCTCGGGTTCCCCCAACCAACGTGCATGCAGCATTTGAATTTCGAACCATAAGCCAATAGCAGCTGCGAGCACCTGCATGAGCAAACACAAATTGATCCGACGCTGGGACCTACACTTATATGAAATGTGACATCAGCCGTTGGAGTGATAATACCTATGTACCTAACTGTTGGAGGGCGTACAGCCAGTGAACGATCAAATCGCTACAGAAACTGACCGACGGCGGGGCGATTCTAGGCGCTTTCTATCTACAGGGCGGGGTAGTGATCCACACTGTACCATGTAGGTACTTGCATTGCGCAGGAAGCGCTGGGGTGAGGGGTATCACATCACATCCTACCTGTTTTGGGGGGATCTAGACTATGTGGAAATAATTTTGACTTTACAGCTGGATAATTTTGGTCTCGGGAGATACATGTATAGAATGAGAAAGTATTAACGAGTGTCAGGGTTGGTCTATCGGACGTATGGGTCGTCTTGGTTCTATGTACAACCCGGTTCCTCCGACCCAACATCAAATCAAGCTTAAAGGACAGGAAAAATAGCAGGGTAACAGCTGTAATGCGAAAGACAAAGGAAATAAAACACAAAAAAAAAGAAAAACAGACAAGCACGTATATAAGAAATCGCAAGATGGTATCATCGAAGCAGAGTGACACGGACTTCAACGGCAAGACAGAACGGACTTGACGGCCAGAAATGAAAAGAATTAAACATGGACGCCAGAAATGGAATAGAATAGATCAAGAGGGCGCCGTCCTATGACAGAAACGAGATCAAAAGCAGGGCGCCGGCACCAGAACAGCAAAAACAATAACGACGATCTTTTGTGTCGAACCTCTGGGCAACATCTGCCCATGGATCGAAAAACGGACAGTAAATGCAACGAGCAAAGCCAGCCGAAGCCAAGGCAACACGCTCCAAATGCGACTCAACAAATGACAAATGCTCCAAGTGTAGATAAGAAAAGCGATAGGAAAGTCTCTGTCTCTTCTGGGTGGTATCGCTCCCTCGGCAGTCGGTAGTTAAAAAAGAAAACGTACGATAAAACACCCTATGCAGCCGTCGGTCGGCGCAGAATGTCTTCGCAGTTGGCGTCGAATCGCATATTCCAGAGACGAATACTATTCATGAGCTTCTCGGTATTTTCAAGCTCACGGTCGCGACCGAAAATCGATTCGACAAATTCGCAACCTGCATTGCGGCCCATTGATACGGGCCCTTTGCCACCTTCTCGTTTGGCGGCCTTCCACATGTAAAGTTCGCAGCCCTTGAGGAGCTTCTTGAATCGGGACCAGAGGCGCTCGCCGCTTTCCAGGAAGTCTTCGACGACTTCTTGCGCCTCCACGCGTTGGATGCGAGGGAGACATTCGTCGGCCCTCTTTACTTTGCCCGCCAGCTTGATCAACAATAGCCACAAGTCGCCCGCGACGTCGGCCATGGGCGTCGACGCCCCATGATGAAAGACGGTCCAGTCGTAGATCCACTTGCCGAGGGAGTTCGCATCAAACACACTCCCGAGCAAGATGATCGGCGCTTCGGTGGGGTCCCAGTTTTTGATCGAATAGCCTGCTGGGATCCCTGCGGCCTCGGCGTCATCTTCGGTGGCGGTGGGTGGCGGTTTGGCAGTAGCAGGTGGTGGTTTGGGTTTGTTGGGAGTGCGAGTTGATGTGGATTGGCGCCTTGTGCGGGAGCGTCTGGCAGCATCGATATCCTCGTTGTTAGGAGCCTGAGTGAAGTAAAAGTGAGAATCAGCTGGATTTGATTTGCGATAAGAGGTCGAGGTGGTGCGACGATGTTGGCCAGGGCCATCTCGAGTGGGGTTCGAGGCCGGGGGACGGCCTGGGCGACCGGTACGGGGCTCGCGGGCGTTGGTGCGCGGGACATCGAATGCTTCGTCGACAACATCTACGAAGATGGGTCGAGTCTGCGATTGCGACGGGTGGTAACCGTTGCCGAGGCCACCCCCCGTAGCATGACCGGTCGAGGAGTATCGGTGGTGTTTGGGCTTTCCCGCAAAAGAAGCACTTACATGATCGTGCTTTCGCGATGGAATGCCATAGTCTGGGTTTGCTTCATAGTAGCCTTGTGTGTAGCCCGACGAATACCATGGTGTTTCTTTGGTGGCCGTGTAACTGGCCTTGCGGTTGTGCCGTCGCGAGGTGCCCCGGGGTGAAGCGTAGGAGTTGGCGAACTGAGAGGCGTAGTAGGCGTATTGAGGTGACGTGGGAGGTGATTGAGTGTAGTCGTAGGTTGACCACCCGGGCGGTGGACTGGAGTAATGATACATTATCGCACGAGCATATGGAGCGCCAGTCGATCAGATAATGTAAATGAGAGGCGACAAGCCGGAGATGCAAACAATCCAAAGGCAGTTAAAATCAGCAGAAAAAAAAGAACACCAAGTATATTATACAGGGTATCGTGCACCCAAACAGAAATCGACGCCGACTTTAAGACTGCAGGTCAGATAGGGTTTTTTGGATAGTAGGACCGTCACCGTGGTACGGTTTCCGATCGAAGAGAGGAGGGTTGAAACTGAATGTGCTGAGAGAGCATTTGAACGTTCTTCGGTCAATCCGAGGAAAAGAGAGAGTGCGTTTAGGGGATCCTAGGATCCAAAGATCTCCTATTGATAAAAGGAGACTCTTGAGGAAAACAAAGAGCAGAGAGACTCTCCGCTCCAAAAGATATAATGGCTTTGAATTCAGTGGAGAGAGGTGGAGAGTGAAAAATTTCAACCCGATGAAAGGGAAAAGGAAAGATGGATCCTTAATCTCAGCGCTGGTGATATTGGCGCAGGCCAATCAGTGCATCCGCTAGTGGTTGGGGCGTGTGAGTTGGCGTTGTGGGCTGTGGCGTTTGGATTCTTTCCTTTTTTTACGTGTATTGAATTTCACGAATTTCAAGGTATCCTATTCATTTCATCTGAAATTCAGTTATATTTTATTTAAGTATAGTTTTCTTCCATCTGGAAGATAGTCCGTCTCTCTTATATCTTGCGCTCGAGCTGCTATTACATTTTATGACTCAACATTAGGTGGCAACCTTGGAAATACAATCGAGTCACCACTCTCGTAGAAACTAGTACTTTCTCTCACTCGTGGATCTGCCATAACCAAAGTACCATCAAGTCTCGATGTCGCTACCCCTCAAGCTAGTCCAGATGGAGACGCTTCCATTGGACGCGATATGCAAACCGCTTGGCTGATAGCCCCTCATTTGAATCGGGCAGCGGACAACTGCATTTTCCTCGGTGTCTTTTGGTTTGCTTAACGAAACTTTTTGACCGTCACTTGGTGGACTGACTGAGGG